CATGAGGCCGCCCGACCGCCGCGGCCCCGCGGAGGGCAGGAATTCCCCGGGCATGCGTCACCTCCCAGGCCGCCCCACAGCGCCAGCGCCATGCCTCCGAGACACCGGGGTTCTCTCCCCTTGTTCAAGCCACTGAGGCAGGACCACCCCCGGGCTGGCCTGAGCCCCGACCGGCCCACCCGCCACGACAGTGGAGGAGCCCCTCTGACCCTGGATGATCCGCAGGCGGCCCAGCGGTAAGCCCCGGGATCCCCCTTGGGGGCTGACCCCCAGCGCCCTTGGGCCGAAGGGGCTTGGCCTGGTCTGGTCTGGGAAGCTTATCAGGATTGGGCCCGGGAGGGGGGACCCCCCAGGGGGCTGAGGGTCAGGCTCGGAGGCAACCCTGCCCTGGCCGGAGGAGCCGCAAGCCGGACTTGGTTGAAAGCAGCTTCTTGGATTCATTCTGGGCTGGGCGGGGGGAGCTGGGGGGGGCAAAGTTTGGCTGACGTTCTACTTGAAACTCACCTTTTAAAACCTTGTGCGTTCCAGGTCTCGGGTTCGGGAGACGATCAAGCCCGGCAAATACGGATACGGGAAGGTGCCGTTTGCGCTGCCCCTCCACAAAGACCCCCCCGAGGGGGCAGCCTCTCGCTCAAAGAGGGACTCTGGAGACCATGCTGGACATTTCTCGGCCCTTCCTCCCCCTCCTCCTCCTCCTCGCCCTCCATCCAAGAAGGCCCGGCGCAAAGTCACCCGCTCTTCTTCTCACGAGGAAGCCGCCAGGGTCTGGGAGAAGGACCCGCTGACCTCCGGGCTCGATCTGGGGGCCCACGACAAGCCCGGGCAGCCTCGGCCAGCGGAGGGTGCTGCTCAGACCCACGTGGGTGTGGAAGGAGGGAGGGAGGGCAGTTTGGGGCAGGGCCACCACGCCAGTGGCCACGGAGGCAGCCTGAAGAGAGGAGACCCGGCAGAAGCGAGGTCCACCGAGGAGCCCCTTCCTGAGAGGTCGGCGGTCAGCCCAGGCCCGTCTGGGGGCGAAGGAGCCCAAGAAAGGGGTTCTGTAGCAACCGGAGGAGTTTCCTCCCTTCCGCGGACGCCCCCGCCAAGCGGGCCCCCTCCTCAGGGGCAGGCCGAGCTCCACCTGACCCACCAGGTCCTGAGGGACCACCGCGTGGCACCCAAACGGCAGGACCCGGCCACCGGGAGGAGCCCCTGGGACGCCCCAGAGCCGCCCCCCCGACCCGAGAGCAGGTCTGTGTCGGGCCACGCCAGCCACCCTCCCCAGGGGCAAGCCCGGATCCGGAACCAGAGGCAAAACCAGCCCCGGACCAGAGGTGGCTACGGTTCCCGTCAGTCCCACAGCCTCTTTGCCGAGCCACCGGTGGCCCCCCACCCGTCGGAGCCAGACGTTTGGCTGCTGCACCGGGGGCAAGGGGCGCCCGAAGCCAGGGGGCACGCAGGGGCCGAGGGTCCCCAGTGGAACCTTTACTATCCCGGGACAGAGACCTTCCACTGCGAGGGGGAAAGCAAGCAGTTCAAGGCCTGCAGGCAGGAGGTAAGCGAAAACGCTCCCTTCCGTGTAAAAAGGAAAACGCATGCCCGTCATTTCTAGTGGCAGGGACCACGTAATTTCCTGCCCCCCCCCATGTTTAAAGAATAACTTGTCACATTACTTGTTACTTTTCAGTTCCTTTTCTTGGGTCCAAATCTTTTACAATAAGAGAATGGCACGGGAATGATTTGATTAATTCCTCCAGAAATACCTCCCAAAATGATCTTTAAAAGTATAACCTCAGAAAAGGGCTACTTCTTAACGCCAGTCAATTCACTTGGTTCCCACTCGCTGGGTTGCCTTCGGAATACAGCCTTCTTGGTGCGCCACCCTGGCCCGGAAAAAAGTCACTCTTGGACGAACGGTCAGGGCTCCTCGTCCTTGGTTACTTCTCAGGTCCGATAACCAGAAACCCCAACCGGTATTTGCCAGGTCTCACCCGAACCCCTTCTATTTCTCCCCTCTCTCTGGATTCCGAGTAATTCTCTCTCTTGGAGATGGTTCCGATTTATCGGCATCTACCTGTTGGTTGCTCTTATAACTTAATTATTTAAAAATATTCTCGGGATGGAGGTGATTAAATCATGTATTTCCATAAGCGGCCGAAATAAATAACTATGTTCCTTAAGAGGGATGGAGAAAAGCCTGCTTGTGTGTGTGTGTCTGTGTGTGGCCATTAAGGGTGCCTGGCCCTGTGCCACGGGGGGATGATGGAGCTTGTAGTCCTGTGCCACCCAGAATGGAGGCGGCTGGAGAGCGATATTCCAAAGGCGCAATGGTTTTAGAAAAAAAGGAGAGAAGAGGAAAATCTTGCAGCCTTTCTGGGATAAAAGCCAAAAGAAGGAGAGAAAAGGCCGACAGTCCCTCAATTATATCGTCCACGGCCTCATGGGTTTTTGAACTCTTCACCTCCGGGGATCGCTTTCCGCCGTGGCTTGTCTGGCACGGATCAGCAGGCTGCCGGAGAGGCTGGGCGGGCTTAGAAAAGGCCCCTTTCAGCCCATGCCAGACACTGGCCGAGGGGGTGGCCGTTGTGGCCTGGCCCGTTTGCAGCCAAAGGTGAGCCTGGAATGAGAAGAAAACGCTGGATGCTGGGAATCGGAGTCTGCCCCCCCCCCCAAATGTAATGTTTTGGGTCATTCCTAGAACGTAAGAGCAAGCCAAACAAAGATTATTACCTGTAGTCCCAAAAATGAAGATTTTGAAGACATGCACTTTGAAATAAACTTCCCTGGGGAGTAAGATTTATAGATGTACCGAGACTGTTTAGAAAGGAATCTCTCTCCTACTTCTCCCTATCTATTCATTCCTCTTTGTCTTCCTTCCCCCCCCAACCCGCCCCCTCCAAATGCAGCCCTGCCCAGCCGACCACCCAGACCCTCCGGCCGTCCAGTGTGCTGCCTACAACGACCAGGAGTTCATGGGCCGTTTCTATCAGTGGGAACCTTTCACGGATGGTAAGCATCTGGGTCTTTCCATAAAAAAGCCCTTTTTCTCTTTCTCCCGACCCCTTGGGCCTCTGGAACGGAGCAAAGGTTCTCTCTCAGGGAAAGCTCTCCCTCGCCAACGGGCCCTCGGCCTGGGCCAGCATCCCGTGGCAAGGAGTTCCACATGCTGACGCTCTGGGCGGGCTGAAGGAATGTCATGGGTTCCTTAATGTTTTGCTACCAGGGCTGTGGAGACCTACGTGGAATGAATGAAGGGGCAGTCAGTCGGGTTCTGCGGGCTGAGAAAAGCCGTGTAAATCTCTTATCGTTGATTGTGCTTTTTGCCTTCGATTTATGGCTCTCCTTCCCTTCTTCCGCACAACAACCCCTGTGAGGTAGGCCTGGCTAAGAGAGAGAGAGAGGGAGGGGGCAAGCATGAGGGTCTTGCAAATCTCTGGCTGCCCACCCA